TCCAGCAGGTGTTCAAGCAGATCTTCTACGTGATCAACGCAGTCGCCCTGAACAACCTGCTGCTGAGGAAGGATGTCTGCTCCTGGAGCACGGGCATGCAGCTGAGGTGGGGCTGGGGCTTGGGGCAGGGATGGGCCTGCTTGAGGAAGCTTTTTTTATGAAGTGCACTTCTCAGAGCATATTCTTGAAATCTTCCTTTTGCTACCCGCTCCCCTTTCCACACTGGAGCTTTGTGTGCTCCCGTTGAGCTGGGGAGTGGGAACAGCAAAAGCTTTTGTGGAGATATTTTCAAAGGTGCCTGGGTACCTTGCAGGATTTTGTTAGCATCTAAAAGCTGCTTAAAAGCTTCATCTTAACTGACAGTTGAAACTTGGAGGAATCTGAATGCTATAGAAAAGCACCTGCCTTGCGCCCTTCTGCTGTTACATGGCTCATCTATTTGTAAGGTACACAGAGAATAAATTTTTCTGAGTGTTAAGCTTTGTTCTGATAGTCTCTTGCCATGTGTATCACAACTATGCATCACAAAAAGCCACATATACCAGCACTGCAACATACCTGGAGCCTCACAGAGGATTTTTGAGCTGCTACGTCTGAGCTCGCGTTTTGTCTTGGTTGCTTACCCAGGTTTAACATAAGCCAACTGGAGGAATGGCTGCATGGGAAGAACCTGCAGCAGAGTGGAGCAGCACAAACTTTGGTGCCCTTGATTCAGGCAGCACAGCTTCTGCAGCTGAAGAAGAAAACCTCGGAGGACGCCGAGGCCATCTGTTCCCTGTGCACATCACTCACGACCCAGCAGGTAGGCAGCAGGGCAGAGGTTTACACCAGAGGGCCTGGATAATTAACAGAGTGGGAAAAGGTGGTCCCCTGGTGCCAGTTCTTCACTGCCCAGCCTCCGTCTGCCGTTCCCTCGGTGGGGACAATTTGTCCTTTTCAGCAGTGAGTCCTCTCACAGGTGGTCACTGTGGTGGCTCCTCTCATACAGTGCCACCAGTGGCACTGGAGCTCCAGCAGTCTGCAGAGATGAAACCCACCCCTGAGGAGTTCAAGCTATAAGTCAGACTCATGGGATTTTAACCCACTTGTTGTCTTCTGCCAGGTCTAACCTGGCTAGGTGTGCAGGATGCCCACCAAGGATTCCTATTTGGAGCAGGAGGTTGAGAAGCGCCCACCTAGGCTGGATGGATCTGACCTTAAACTTTGAGACTCTGCCTCAGGAGGATATAAACTCATGTTTTTTTGCTGCTGGATTGCCTGGACTTAATTTGATAGTCTCTTAAGAAGGAAGAAGTGAGAGGTGTGAACTCATCTGCAGTGGTTCTTGGAGAGCCTTTCTAATGTATCTTCATCTCCCTGTCTTGAACACGTGTTTTTGAGAGAAGCTGAAGGATAGTAGGGGAGGAGCCAGGAGTAAGGGAGCATCAAGAGAAGCATTGCAGAGGTGACATCTGAAGTCACCCTTAACACCATGTGCCAACCAAGTGGAGTCCCTGTACAAACCTGTTGTCCACGTCTATCCCCAGTTTACAAACGTT